GCTGTTGTTTAGAAGGTTTATCCAAGTCCCATGTTGACTCAAGACCCTTGATGAATCTCAAAACACAAGGCATCCTTAGTATCTCCTATCTTGAATGACCTTAATGTTTGCAAATAAAGGGTAGTCTCAAGTATTCTGAAAGAGTAGCTTTACAACTGGTAAATTAGCCACCCCAAGGTAACAAGAAAGGGGCACCTCTCAAATCAAGGTTTTTCAACCAATTCATGCTCCACATCTACACTACTTTCTATGATAGGTGAAAAAATAACTAGTAAACATTTTTGGAATTGGAAACATTTCTAGAACTAGGCCATGAAGATGGGGTACATGTATTTGTCCTAGTTTTATTCCTTTCATAATGCTTGATTGATGTTGGTCCCGGTTGTCTCTATACGGTCTATATGTAATTGATATTTTTTGTTAATACCTTGCTTAAATTGAAAGGAAACTGATACACAAACAATATCATGCATGTTAGACATGCACAAGCATTCATGCCATCTCGGAAAACTCTTAACTGAACAAATCTTGTATTAATTCAGCCTCTCTTATCTCTTTGAAGCTCCATTAGGCATTCATATTCATCCAGGAGTTTGAACTAAGTCTCAGTTATTGAACAAATAAAATGAAACTAAATATGCATAAGCTAATCACACAAACGAGAGTGAATTCCTTTTTTTTTTTTCTTTTGATATGCAAATGTATTTACATTTGCATGGAAACAAAGAAACAAAGTCCATGACACATGCCATGTTCAATAACCAACTGCATATGAAAATCAAGGGAACACATCCAACAAATCTTACATTATTATACAATACAAGAAAACATGCAACATCATTTTTTCGACAATTCACTAATTAACTTGATATCAAATACTCATGAATCCAAGTTGACAAACTAATTCTCTACAATTTGATGAGTACCCCAAGTTAGATTTGTTATGTTGTTCTCAAATAATGATAAAAAAAAAGGACTTTTGGACTCACTAGGATCTCAAGCTTGACTCAGGAAGCCTGACTCGGCTAGGTATCAACAAGACTTGGTTGTCTCCGTGAAAATAACATAGCACAAGTTCAGAACCCAGTGAGACTTAAATGAGTCCAGAGCTTTTTGAACTAGAACCGGCACCCTACCGAGTCCAAGACCAAGTAACTGAGTCAATGTTTCAAAAAGGACTAGTTGGCACCTAGGCGGTCGGGAGGGGGGGGGGGGGGTCCAGGCCGCCTAACACCTAGACGGGCACCCAGAACCTGGGCGGCCCAATGGAAAATTTTCTTTTTTGGGTTTTTCTCTTTCTAAAATAGGCTCTAATGAGTTTTAGATTTCAAATGAACCTAAAACCCACAATTTTGCACCCTTAGCATTAAAAAAGACCTAAAAATACCCTCAACAATGGGCTTTTCCGCCCCTAAGCAGGGTGCAGGCCCTGGGCGGCTGCTTAGGCGGGTTCCCGAGCACCTAGGCGGGCGCCTATAGATATCCACCTAATTTGGCTGTCTAGGCCTGGGCAATGCGCCCTGGCCTTATGGACCACCTAGGCGGCCACCCAAGTGCTGGGCGGTCCGCTTTTTAAAACACTTAACTTAGTTTTAAAACATTGGTTCTAAACTGTAGGTTTGCTTGGTTCAAAATTCCATAAGAACCATAAATCTCAGCCTTCTAAATTTTACCTCCAAACTCAATTGCAAAATTTTGGGTAGGAATAGTTTTAACTTCCATATTGCAAATAATGTTTGGTTCAGAAACCCACTTCACAGCTCTTCAATGGGACATGTGGAATTAGAGAAGGCTTTATCCAACTTTTCATGTGACTTTGTGGCAAAAGGGTGAGTTCATTTCTTGGCCCCTGCCCACTTACTGTATAACCTACAATCTTTAGCCCTCTTTTCCTTCTCTCTTAGGCATTATTACTCCCTATTTGATGTTATTTCATGTCACTCTCTTTTATTCTTTTCTGTCTTTTCCACATCTCTTCAACGTTTTGTTACCCTAGTACAATTTACCTGTGTGATTATTAAGTACTTCATTAAATTTCCTCCTCTACTTTTCTTTTCTTTTTAGACTTTTGCTTTCCTCATAGAGGTTGCTTCTTATTGTTGCCTTCCTGATTATCCTTTTAATTTCCTGATATTGACTGCACACGAATGGGAGCTCAACCTGCATGCACGTGGATACACAGATGAGTGAGAGAGACACAGAAATGAGAGTGAGAGAGAGAGAGGATTATAAATACTTAAAGGGCATCCGAGCACACATGGGGCCACCGTCACCGGATTCACGAAAGCAGTGACCATCCAAGCGGAAAACGGAGAAACATCTACCGTTCCATGCCGAATGAAGAACCATTTAGCAAACATAT